GGGGGCGGCGGCGGGGGGCGGGAGCCTCGCCTCGCCTCGCCTCGCCTCAGGGGGGTCCCACCTACACAGCCCCCCACCACACCACTACTACTACGCCACACTACTACTACACCACACTGGCCGTGCAAATAGGAGCTCCGCCAACGGGATGAAGGCGCTTTACTTACTTCTGCTTTTAATTCTTTAAAATATCAAACAATGAGTCGAAACTGGAGGACAGTTAATTATTAATTCATTGTTTCTCCCTGTATTTACTTGCATAATGATGGACGTTTCTAGGCCTGGGGCTTTCCGGATGAACGACAGGTAGTAAAAGAAACGTAACATGAGATGGCTGCAGGAGGGACAGAAACGTTTCCCTACCCACCGGTAACTCCGGCACACTCTACAACCCATACCCACTCACCGAGCCAGACGCACTTCTAGTTAGCTTCACTGCCAAGCTCATTAAGGTGACACAACTTACTGGGGCGCCAAAGCCCCCAGTTATAAATAGCCAGGAGCGGGGCAGAAGCCTCCTGGGAACAACTTCCCAAACTGCAAAATCCTAGAATTACAGCTCTCCAAGGCGACCATTTCTCCGCGTATCCCACAAGCAAGAGAGGCCCCGTACCAAGGCGCGGGGGGATAGGTCTTGCTCCCGATCCCCCATGCTGTCACTACAGGAGGACTGGTAACCATGGACAGAGGCAGTCAGGTAAAACAAGAGGGTGGGAGGCAACTGAAGGCTGCCAAGATGAACAGCCCTCCACGTAACTTGAGCTGCAGTAGCTTCTTTCTAGCATCCTCTGTTGCTTTTGAATGGAAGGGACTCCGCTAGTCATGCATATGTTTTATTTTAGTCAAGTTTATTTTTCTACAAAAGATGAGGTAAGGAAAACGGATTCAAATTTGTCTTTATGGCAAGCATCACGCATTTGGAGACAGCATACATGAAGTCTTGGTTCTAGCTTTGACTCCCCGTCCAAACCCCAATAAACTGCATAGTGTTTATTTCTGAAAGGTTATTTTACAAGTTACTTACTATTTTTGGCACTTTAACGAATATACGTTGATTTTCTTCACATTTAAAAAGCAGGCTGAACACTTTTGACTGATTTATAACAGGTAAAAACATAAAAAGCTATGAACCTAGCCATGTTACAAATCAGCAGGGTGGGGGGGTGTTGCGGACACCATAAAACCAGGTTGCTTGATACAAGAAACACCCAACCTGTTTTTCTAAAGGATGCTACAGTTACAAAGACTATAACCTTGATTTCCAGAACTAAACCAGCACGCCTGCAAATGGTATTTGAACTACCAGATAGAGATTTCATGTGGAGACAGGAAATTTGACAGCCATTCAGTCTTGTATTCATCATGGGGCCTCAAGTAATTGAATGACTAGGGACATGTATACAAGTCTCCAAAACGTAGTCAGCACAGGAAATTGCTGAAGGAGGTTTTCTAGACTGGGAGAAGTAAATCTGTTTGGGTAGACAAAATCTGAATTGAAAATGGTAGTCTACTCTTTTGGAAGTTGTAATGTAAGGAGATCTATTGAATCCTTAAACTCTTCTGAGGAAGTTTCTACCTCCTCAATCACAGGGTCTCCGACAGGCTACTGGAACCTGTTTGCAGCTCCTGACAGGCTTCCAAAGCTGTTCAGCCACCCTTACAGGCAGTACATGCACGTTGTCAACAGGAACCTTCAAAAAATCTTGAACTGGAATTACTGCATAGAAGACACAGCATACAAACGTGATGGGACTTCAAACACACTGCAGAAGGAAGAAGCTACCTCTGACTCACTCAGCTGTGCGTATAATGGAAATGAAAAGAGTGGCAAAAAACTCTGGGTATAGCGTCCAATTAAAAAAAAAAAAAAAAGAAGAAGGAATATCTATGGCAACTACCAAATTTTATTAACTAATTCACCAACATAGAGAA